TTTCATCAGCAATGCCTGAAAGGGGAACCAAGTGCAGGAAAATAGAACCGAGTGCCCGAGTGGCCCGTGCGAGCGCCCTGTGTGCGCGGCCCTGTGCATGCTAGTGGGAGACCCCGTGTGAGTGAGCGGCCCCGTGTGAGCAGCCCTGCCTCAAGCTGAACGGCTTGTATTTTGCAGACAGTTGTTATCTGGTAGAAACTCTCTGTTCATCTGCTTTGCTTCGAAATAGTTTAAACCTGGTCTTCCATCCTTTTTGTCGCTGAGTTTTAGTCCAAATCTTCTCTAAAGACATCTTGGCAGTTTCCTGTGTCCTGCATGCTCTCTAGATCAGGGGTAGCTGTTGAAATAACTTGTCCATGACAATATCCGTGGTTCTCCTATTTAGTGGCGGGTTCTGTGGCCCTGTCTGTCCTTTGCACTGTGTTCTAGCCCCCATTTTCCCCGTTTACTTTGTGTACGCTTGTGTAGTAGGCTCCCTTGGCTCCCCGAGCCTCCCCTGTCTTATAACATTTTCTTTCTTCCTTCTTTTTGATAGTCTTGTTCCTAGTTAAGATAAAATCTCACCTCTGGCTGGTCCAGAACTCAGCATGTAGATGAGACTGGCCTCTGACTCACATGTGCTGAAATCAAACTGTATGCCATCACCTCTGACTCTTTTAACTTTTTTGTTGCTGTTTTTAGAACAGGGTTTTGCCATGTAGCCCAGGCTGGCCTAGTATTTGCCATGTAGTCCAGGCTGGCCTAGTATTTGCAATGTATCCCTGCTGACTAGCACTTAGTTACATAACCCAGGCTGGTTACATAACTCCCAGTAATCCTCCCGCTTTAGCCTCCTAAATCCTGGAATTACAGGTACACACTATCACACCCAGCTTTCTCTCTGCATTTCTGAAATGTCATGTATACAGCTGGCCCACGAGAAAAGAATGACGACCATGCTTTTCCAGTGCGCACCTAGTCGTCCAGTCTGCGATAGGCTTGCCTTGAATAGATTCTCAACCAGTGGCTTCTCTGCGGGACCAGGAAAACTCCAGAAATGCTCGTTGGTCCTTCCCTCTGAATCCTTAATGCCGAGATCCTCATGGATGCTCCTTTAAGGTTTTTGTTTGTTGACTTTTGGGTTAAGTGGTTTTATTCATTCGTTTTTAGTAATTACCGCCAAGGCTCAGCTCCCTCACTCTGTTGTATGAAAATCCATTCCCCGGGCCAGTGAGGCATCTCAGCCGGGGAGGGCATCTGCCAGCAAGTCTGATGGTCTGAGTCCAATCCCACAAGGTGGCAGGACTTCCACAAGGTGTCCTTTGACCTCCACACACTCGCTCTGGCAGGTGCATGACCCCCTCCAACACACACACACACAACACAAAATGGATGAACAATATCAAAAGAAAAGTCCATTCGTGCAAAAACAACAGCACTATTAGAATTCTGCTAGGTTCCCTGGCAGTAATCTCTTCCCTGGAGGGAGACGAGGCCCCAGCAGTCATCCTTCCCTGCCGCAGTGATTCTCCCTGGCCTTCCTGGATCGCCGTGCCCCTCCTTGGCGTCTCTCCCTGATCCTCAGTCACCTGGACATTCATCTGTGACTGCTCACTGTGTCTGACAGCCAAGCAGTGTTCAGGCTGCTGTCCACTCCCACCGAAAGATGAGCTAAGTTCCTCTGTCCCGGCCCTCAGGGCCCTGCAGGGGGCAGGGGGCTTCCCAGGATGCTGGCTGTGTGCTCCCCAACACTCAGGATAGCTTGGAGCGAGGAACGATTTGTTTCCCTGTGCGGTTCTTCTGCCTCAAGCTTTCTCATCCCACGAGGTCTTTACTCTTCCAGGAAGTCCCACTCATTCTTCAAGGTGTAAATCAGAATGGGAATGACTGCTGCCTGCCCGTGGTGTGCTCTGTGCCCTCCCTCAGGGATGTGTGTTCTTCCTCTTCAGCATGCTTCCTGCATCTTATAGCATCTCTTACTTTATGCGAGTGTCTTCCATGTCTCTGCTAGGGAGCTCAGTACCTGGCCTGGATTGGACCGTGGTTGATTGTTACTAAATGTACAAGGAAGAAAAAAAGAAGTTTATGGAGACAGAGGTGGGGGCAGAAGGGAGGGAGTGGTGAGAGGGGCGTTCCCTCATTTCTTGCTTGCTTCGGCTCAGCTGAGTGCAGATGCGGTGTGTGTAAACGACAAATGGACCGGAATTAAAAGAAGTGTAGCATAGGAGGCATGGGGCCCTAATGAGTTAAAATTTGGGAATGAGGTGGCTTGAAGGCATCCCCTGAGCGCTGGGGAGAGCATCTTCTAGCTATAGGAAATGCACACAGTAGCAAGAACCCTGTGGCTGACAGGACGCCTGCATCCCTTGTTTTTGACTGGACTGGAGCTGGTGTGATTCTTTCTCCCCCACTGAGCAATTTCTAGGGTGCAACACACCGACCTCAAGTACAACAAACGGTGCCTCTCCCGAGCCTGGCAGGGCTGGAGCGGTCAGAGGGCCAGAGAGTGACACGGTTGCTGCCGTGCCTCCTTCCGAAACAGAGACCATTCTGCTTCTCATCACAGAAGCCCTGGCCAGCTCCTCGCCCACACATCCCTAACAGCCCACAGCATTCAGGGAGGATTCCCTGCCACACAGTGATGACATTCAACTAAGCCACAGTTTCCTTGACCCAAGGAGGAAAGCCGTGTGCAGTTTGGGGCTGGGGGTGTGGATGAGCAAGCGCGGATTTTTTCCCCATTGCCTGGTGGCTCTAAATTGCAACCTCTCTTTTCATTTTCCATTATGCCTCCAGCACATCTGTGCCAGAGCTAGACGAGTGGATTCTGTCTGGGAGGATGATCCAGACAGCTATAAATTAGAGTTTGTGTTCAGAGATTCCAAAAATGTGGCCTCGTGGTAGGGTGTCCCTGAGACTAGTCACCTCCTCCATAGTCTGTGTGGTGGCTGCTGGTTTGGGCCCAGGGCCTCCGTCAATAGATTTGGCTTTGTGTTTGGAAACTCTGTCTTTCCATTAAGGCACCAGAGAGATGTGAAAGCAGGGAAGCCTGTGAGGTTTGCCAGGCAGATTCATCCCAGGTCGTCCCAGGCATTTCTAGGGACAGGTTTGACCAAGGACAATGCTCCTCCTGCTCGTAACAGCCAGGACCCCAAAGCTGGCACCTTCCTGAGTTAAGCACAGACCAAGAAGATTTTTCCATTTCCCATATTGGGCATAAAAGCAAGTATGCAAACCTCTCAAAATCTAGGTGTTTAAGCCCCGAAGACTGATGCATAATTAATGTGGAGCCCTTAGGAGACAGAAGGGAACCGTCCCCTGGAATTCCACCCTTCAAAGATAAATAATGCTGTGTCTTAGCATAACCTCATCTCGTGTTTCCATGTCAGCCTCCTCTTTAAAACGCCTCGAAAAGTCAGTGGAGGTCAGCTGTTTTAACTTCCCCGCGAATTATCCAATTAGTGCTCTCTCTAAGGGCTGGGAAGCCTTAGTTACTCCACACGGGAGTAGCCAGCTGGTGGAAGCCAGGCACCCACTCCCCCTCACTAAAGGCAGGCCTGCACAGTTCTGAAGAAGCCAGCCACACAGGGATTTGGCCTTGGGAACAGGATATGAAGAGGAGGAAAGCCCTCATAGATATATCGAGGTAACCTTCCCAGGGTGGCACCGGATCCCTCTCAAGTAACCCTACAGGAGAGAAGGAGCCTGCCTAGGAAGGCCTCAGGCCTAACCCTGGCTGGAGATTTCCTTATTAAGCCTCTGCCCTGCATTCCCTCCTTGGCGTCTGCTGCCAGCATCTTTTCAGATAGGAGCAGACCCTCCCTGTCTGGTGAAAGGCTAGGGCCCAGGATTAACTGGAAGAGTTAGAGAGGCAGGATGCTATTTTTACATCTCTGCTGACTTCCCCATAGTGCTTTGCACTCACAAGGTTCCCCGTAAATAACCGTTACTTGATTGATACAGCCATATTCAAGAGTGGTGTTTGGAGAGAAAGGCCCTTGGCTGGAAACTGCTGGCCTGTGGTTGGGACAGTCCTGCAATTGACACAGAGGGCTGCCAGCTTAGACATGGAGCCTGCGACAGCCTTCAGCCTCAGGAGAGGAAACCTGGTGATGACTCTACCAGCTGCCAGCCTGCCCAGCCTGCCCAGCCCGTGCCTGTGCCAGCCACTCAGCCTCTCCATGAGCCACATGGCATACAGACCCTGCCTTTTCAGAAAAATATTTTTTTCCTTTCTCCCTTTCCATGGAAACTCAAAATAGCAACAACAACCAAAAAAAAAAAAAAAAAAAAAA